TGCACTTTAAATCGAACTTTTCGTGAGCCCATAAGCCTATTTGATGAAAAAAATGAAATGTCTTTAGAGACCTTTTTTCTTGCAAATTCCAACTCTATGGCGTTCCTCTCGGTAACACGATTCCAACGCAACCTCCTTTCGAGTCATTGAACACCGGTACAATGAGATATTTCACTTTAAACCGAACTTTTCGTGAGCCCACAAGCCTATTTGGTGAAAAAATAAAATTTCTTTAGAGACCTTTTTCATGCAAATTCCAAATCTATGGCGTCCCTCCCGGTCATATGATTCCAACGCAACCTCCCTTCCACTCGTTGACCATCGGTACAATGAGATATTTCACTTTAAACCGAACTTTTCGTGAGCCCACAAGCCTATTTGGTGAAAAAATGAAATTTCTTTACAGACCTTTTTTCTTGCAAATTCCTACTCTATGGTGTTCCTCTCGGTCATATGATTCCAACGCAACCTCCCTTCCACTCATGAACAGTTCTTGCATTTTCCAACTCTATGACGTTCCTCTCGGTCATATGATTCCAACGCAACCTCCCTTCCACTCATTGGCCATCGGTGCAATGAGATATTTCACTTTAAACCGAACTGTTCGTGACCCACAAGGCTATTTGATGAAAAAATGAAATTTCTTTGAAGAGCTTTTTCTTGCAAATTTCAACTCTATGACGTTCCTCTCTGTCATATGATTCCAACGCAACCTCCCTTCCACTCATTGGCCACCGGTGCAATGAGATATTTCAATTTAAACCGAACTGTTCGTGACCCACAAGGCTATTTGATGAAAAAATGAAATTCTTTTAAGAGATTTTTTCTAGCAAATTCCAACTCTATGGCGTTCATCTAGGTCACACGATTCCAACGCAACCTACCTTCCCCTCATTGGCCATCGGTGCAATGAGAAATTGCACTTTAAATCGAACTTTTCATGAGCCCACAAGCCTATTTGATGAAAAAAATGAAATTTCTTTAGAGACCTTTTTTCTTGCAAATTCCAACACTATGGCGTTCCTCTAAGTCACACGATTCCAACGCAACCTTCCTTCGAGTCATTGAACACAGGTACAATGAGATATTTCACTTTAAACCGAACTTTTCGTGAGCCAACAAGCCTATTTGGTGAAAAAATAAAATTTCTTTAGAGACCTTTTTCTTGCAAATTCCAACTCTATGGCGTTCCTCCCGGTCATATGATTCCAACGCAACCTCCCTTCCACTCATTGACCATCGGTACAATGAGATATTTCACTTTAAACCGAACTTTCCGTGAGCCCACAAGCCTATTTGGTGAAAAAATGAAATTTCTTTAGAGACTTTTTTTCTTGCAAATTCCAACTCTATGGCATTCCTCTCGGTCACACGATTCCAACGCAACCTCCCTTCCCCTCATTGGCCATCGGGGCAATGAGAAATTGCACTTTAAACCGAACTTTTCGTGAGCCCACAAGCCTATTTGGTGAAAAAATGAAATTTCTTTAGAGTCCTTTTTTCATGCAAATTCCAAATCTATGGCGTTCCTCTCGGTCACACGATTCTAACGCAACCTCCCTTCCCCTCATTGGCCATCGGTGCAATGAGAAATTGCACTTTAAACCGAACTTTTCGTGAGCTCACAAGCCTATTTGGTGAAAAAATGAAATTTTTTTAGATACCTTTTTTCTTGCAAATTCCAAATCTATGGCGTTCCTCGCGGTCACACGATTCCAACGCAACCTCCCTTCCCCGCACTGGCCATCGGTGCAATGAGAAATTGCACTTTAAACCGAACTTTTCGTGAGCCCACAAGCTTATTTTGTGAAAAAATGAAATTTCTTTAGAGACCTTTTTTCTTGCAAATTCCAAATCTATGGCGTTCCTCTCGGTCACACGATTCCAACGCAACCTCCCTTCCCCTCATTGGCCATCGGTGCAATGAGAAATTGCACTTTAAATCGAACTTTTCGTGAGCCCAGAAGCCTATTTGATGAAAAAAATGAAATATCTTTAGAGACCTTTTATCTTTCAAATTCCAACTCTATGGCGTTCCTCTCGGTCACACGATTCCAACGCAATCTCCTTTCGAGTCATTGAACACCGGTGCAATGAGATATTTCACTTTAAACCGAACTTTTCGTGAGCCCACAAGCCTATTTGGTGAAAAAATAAAATTTCTTTAGAGACCTTTTTTCATGCAAATTCCAAATCTATGGCGTCCCTCCCGGTCATATGATTCGAACGCAACCTCCCTTCCACTCATTGACCATCGGTACAATGAGATATTTCACTTTAAACCGAACTTTTCGTGAGCCCACAAGCCTATTTGGTGAAAAAATAAAATTTCTTTAGAGACCTTTTTCATGCAAATTCCAACTCTATGGCGTTCCTCCCGGTCATATGATTCCAACGCAGCCTCCCTTCCACTCATTGACAAACGGTACAATGAGATATTTCACTTTAAACCGAACTTTCCGTGAGCCCACAAGCCTATTTGGTGAAAAAATGAAATTTCTTTAGAGACTTTTTTTCTTGCAAATTCCAACTCTATTGCATTCCTCTCGGTCACACGATTCCAACGCAACCTCCCTTCCCCTCATTGGCCATCGGGGAAATGAGAAATTGCACTTTAAACCGAACTTTTCGTGAGCCCACAAGCTTATTTGGTGAAAAAATGAAATTTCTTTAGAGACCTTTTTTCTTGCAAATTCCAACTCTATGGCGTTCCTCTCGGTCACATGATTCTAACGCAACCTCCCTTCCCCTCATTGGCCATCGGTGCAATGAGAAATTGCACTTTAAACGGAACTTTTCGTGAGCTCACAAGGCTATTTGGTGAAAAAATGAAATTTTTTTAGATACCTTTTTTCTTGCAAATTCCAACTCTATGGCGTTCCTCTCGGTCAAATGATTCTAACGCAACCTCCGTTCAACTCATTGGCCATCGGTGCAATGAGAAATTGCACTTTAAACCGAACCTTTCGTGAGTCCACAAGCCTACTTGGTGAAAAAATAAAATTTCTTTAAAGACCTTTTTTCTTGCAAATTCCAACTCTAAGGCGTTCTTCTCGGTCATATGATTCCAACGCAACCTCCCTTCAACTCATTGATCATCGGTGCAATGATATATTTCACTTTAAACCGAACTTTTCGTGAGCCCACAAGCCTATTTGGTGAAAAAATGAAATTTATTTAGAGACCATTTTTCTTGCAAATTCATACTCAATGCCGTTCCTCTCGGTTACACGATTCCAACGCAACCTCCCTTCCCCTCATTGGCCATCGGTGCAATGACAGCCCCTTAAAGGCATAGCAATACAGAGAGAAATTTAAAATTAAAATTAGAGAGAGTTTGTTGAAAAAAATAGCTTTCATTATACGTATTTGTGTGTATCTAAATATGACATTTTCATCAAGGTTGGTTGTTTACATAAATATTGTAAGAAGAAAATTATATGAAATATCGCAGTTTAAAAAAAAATTCCAATCTACAGAAGTAAAAGACTAATTCATGCATGAATTAAGGAAGACAAAATGTTGAATTATGGTGCACACGTTAACAGGTATTTACTTTACTACAAAAGCGAATTGGTGTGATAATAACTCAACTAGGGAGCGCGCCCCAATTTGCGTTTCAACGTTCCCAAACACGCTACGAGATTTTTCTAACGAGCAAACAAACGGGAAAATGGTTTTAACTGACAAATTTGAGAAAAATGAGCATTTTAGTGTGCCTATATTTAGGAGGTCATTTTGCTAATGAATTGTCACATCTTCTTCCGTCATTCTTTACTTTCATCTACTACAAATATCATCCAACACCGTGAACAAAGTTCATACATTTTGATTGCTCAACCATTTGAGAGATTATGGCTAATACGAGGTATATGTATATCAACCTTCGTTTCTGCTTGAGTTAATATTTTATTAGTAGATTGAGATTGTGTGTGCAAATTAGTTAGATAGTTATTTTATTTTTTCTATGTTTATTTTTTATGTCTTGTGCATAGAGCCTTCAAACTTGTTGTTTGGTGGAGAATTCAATGAGCTAATCAACACTAATTGATGACAATAAGGGGTATAAAAGACATTAACTGCCTTTACATTTAGGCTGTCGGAATTGCAAAGAAATAGTAAATTTTATCACTGTGGTATCCCTGCTATGGATGATGTCAGAGTTGATATGACAAAAGATTTCATGGCACGAAATTCAAATCGTGAGTTTTGCTTAGATAGGTGTTGAGTTCGCTAGTCATCTAGAAGAGAAGGGAGATACATTGAGTATGCGCTCGAGTAGTGCCCTTAGTGAGCCAAATGATCATATGGATGAGGGCAATGAGTACAATTGGTGATGGCAATTTGAACCCGCCTTGCGGGCATTACCCGACCCACAGTAGCGTGGGACGGGGCATGTGTATATACTTCCGACCCTCCATGCCACGGCCTGGTCCATTCTTGGCCCAATCTACCTCAAATTTCTATAGTATTTATTCATATTTCTCCTAATTTGACTTTTCTTCAACTAGTTAGAGTCAATCTTTCAACTAGTAAGACTCAATTACCCATTCTATTACCACTATTGTCATTTGTAAAGTGTTTCCCCTTCATTTTATCGTAAAAAGTAAAATTTTACGTATATTTTTTTAAATAACATGCAAGAGTGGGTCGACCCAACCCGTACCTGCCCGGGTATTACCCGCCCCCCGACCCGTAGTAGCGTGGGGCGGAGCATGGGTATTGGGGTACCCGTCCCGCCCCGTCCCATTGCCATCACTAAGGACAAGGATAATGGCAATGATGTCGATGGAGATGAGCACCAAATTGTGATTGAAGGAGCGGCTGCTACATAAAATATAGAGACATATGTTCCTGCAAAACATTATTTTGTGCTTCCGGAAGGCTATGACAACGACTTGAGAATTGACTATTATGGAGATATGAATGATAAACTAGGAAGCCGTCCAGGACAAGAGTTCTACATTGATCAGATAATTTGTTCAAAATAAGTTGTACAAAGGGCCATAAAAATTTACGCGATGGAAAGTTACTTCCAAATTAGATTGGTAGAGTCAACACCAACGTTGGAAGGTGAAATGCAACAACTACAAGGAGAACATCTACGCATGGATGGTTCGAGTTGCCTCAAAAGATTCTAGTGGGGATTTCACAGAGCCACACAGAGAAAACCCAGAGTACAATTATGCTAACTTTTGATAAACAGACCTATGTTGTTTCCCCCACCCAAAGCAGCTAGGCTAGAGTTGCTATTGTTGCTACTGGCTTCTGGAATTTACCTGTCATTGTCGAGGTGAGAACACCAACGCACGCCACGGCCCATAAAACCAACCGGCCCGCCCCGGCCAAAAAACAACCCGGGCCCGCCCCGGCCCAAAAACGAACCCGAACACGGCCCGGACCAAAAAACGAACCCGGCCACACCGCGGCCCAAAAAACCAATCCCGGCCACGGCCCGGCCCAAACAATAAATGCAAAGTAGAGTGACTAACCGGCCTACAAATAAAAAACCAACAGCCGAATAAAAATAGAAACCTAGACACGAAACAAAACTAAAAAATATAAGCCCAGCCCCCAACCCGGCCCAAAATGAATACTTATCTAAACTAAATCTATGGAGGAATTTAAAGCAATAATATTTATAGAATTATTCAAACATTATCAACAAAAACCATTATCATTCAAACTCCATTTTTACCCTTTCCTTCTCAAACGAACTCATGGGAATCAATCCAAAACCGGCACAAAAAATAAGAAACAAGAAGCGTCCCGCAATTCACAACCCTAACCCAGTAACCCCGAAACCCGGCACAAAAAATAGAGTAACCAAGAACAGAGCCCGAAAACCCCCAATTCACAACCCATCCACTTGAATGATTCAAAACATTATCAATCAACAACAATAGTCGACAAACACCATTATCATTCAAACTCGTTTTCTCCGTTAACTTATCAAACGAAATCATACATGAATCCAAAACCATTCAGTTGGGTAGAGGATAGATCTAGCAATTCAACTAAATCTGAACAATCCATAACTCACCCAAATCTAAGATTCCTACCTATAAGTTATGAGATTCACTTACCAGGAAGTCTGTCGTTGGACATACATCCGGCCAAAAGTCACTGTTACCGAATACGTTGAGAACTGAGACGCCCATGGGCTTCGCTTCCTGCCTCGTCCGCCAATAAACCGAAAAAATCAAAGAAAAACTCAGTAGTCAGTTCAAACTTCCCAAAACCAGAATAAAAACGTAAACCACACAGAAATTGACATGGAAGATAAAAGTTCGCCTCACCTTCGTCGCCATTGTCAAACAACGTCGCTCATCGTCGTCGTCAGTGTGATCGCCAGTGGTGTTGGCTTCCAGTCGCCGCCGGCAAAAGTATTCTCTTGGTTTGCTTGTTTGTTTCCAGAAGTAATGAGAGGGAGATAGGTGAATCGAAGAGAAGAAGAAGAGACTGCAGCTTCAGATCTAGAGGAGACAGGAAAGAAGAACGAAAAAGAGAGATGCTAGTGGTCGTCGTTTTTTTTTTTTTTTTGGTAGAAAGGTTGACGCTATTGCGTCTAATTCGTATTAGTAATAGAACGACTTTGGGTAATCCCCATTACATCGTAAAAGAGCCATTGTCTAAGACCGGCATCATACACATCAAAGAAATGTGTACCAAAAGTAAAGCGGTGACCAACATTAGCAAGGTAGTCCGCCGCAACATTCATTTCTCTGAAAACATGAGAAATTTTAACCTCCCAGTCGAGGTTCAAAAGGACCCTAATGGATGCAGCAAGCAATCCATGTCTATGATCATCATCCTCCGAGCCAAGAATAATGGAAATGGTGGTTTTGGAGTCCAGGTTGAGTTCCACTTTCCTGTGACCCTCTTCCCACGCAATCCTGAGTCCAATCGCAGCAGCTTTGAGTTCAGCACTGGTAATCGAGCATCTTCCCAGGTTACAAACAAAAGCCTTGCTGCAGCCTCCAAGATGGTCACGCAGAAGGCCCCCAGCAGCAGCAACACCAGTGGATGTGTACACTGATCCATCAGTTTGAACCTGAGTCCAGCCCTCCCTAGGTGGTTTCCAGGAAATCTGCTTCACAGTAGGTCCAGGGGAGGTTCCAGCTGAAGTTTTCCTGATGCAGTCTTGAGTTTGTTGAACGATGTTAAACCAAGCTTGTGGAGGAGGGAGCAGGGGAAAAAACGAGAGAGAGAAAGAGGTGGGGCGGCCGCTCGTATTTAGGGTTGATTTACGTCTTGGAGGTATATATATACCATTTTTATTACAACCGGACCGGCCGGTTCGGTTACCCGGTTTCGGGCACTCATCCAGGTCCGATTTTCATTAAACGATAAGGAAATTGGACGGCCGAATAAGCCGATTCATCCGGTTAACCGACAGAACCGTCAAACCCGAACCGACGGTTTGTAATTATAACCTTTCTTTGTGCTAAACCGAAATATGAAATTGAAAAGGATTCTTTTCCTTTTTTAAACCACAATAAATCCTTCCAACCCATTTTTACTCTTCTTTTTTGTGCTGTATATTTTTTTTCACTTTCCCCAATGGTCAATCACGTTTCCTTTCCTCTTCTTCTCCTTAATTCCTCCCCAAACAAGCCTTGTATTTCTTATAAAGACAAGTATACAACATTTCATTTTGTTCATTTAATTAATTTTTATTCAAATCATCACTTTCTTTACTTCCCTCTTATTCTCAATTTCTCCATTTAATTTATGAATTGACCAACTTCACGGTCAAACTCCAAAAAGCCAAAAGTCATTATTTATTACTACTATGATTAACATTTCAATACTACATTCTTCAAAAATAAGGTAAAGAATTTTCAATTTAAAGTATTAATTTGTAGAGATTTGAAAATTTTATATGCTTACGGATCGTTGTCCGGTCCGGTTTCGACAACACTGATATATACAATACCCATAGGGTTTTCCGCATATTACCAACACGCCACCGAATTTTTGTTATGTTACGAAATTACCCCGCTTCGTCTGTCTCAAAATGATAGACAGTGAAAATTGTTCAAATCGAGTTTCGGACTCTGGATTAATTAATTAGCATAGTTAACTAGGTAGGCTACGAAACAATTTTTAACCAAATAGATATCAAAATGGGTTTTTTGTTTTACTATTCTTAATACAAAATTTTAAATGCAGAAAAATCTCTAAGTTGGGTTAATTCCTTCTCTTCCCTACAACGTCAAATATTTTTTCCTTACTAAAAGTCTTATTTTTTATCTTACGGGACAAGTCATTAAGGTCATTTTCTAAAGCCTTCAAGTTGCTATCTCAAAACAGGAAAACTACTTGAAAATGGCCAAGTCTGGAAACGTGATTGTGAAACCAACTTTGATGCTCAATTTGAGAAGCATGGATGAGAGTCGAGTGCATATGCTTCTACCACATGAAAGTAGGTATGTTTGTCTACAAAGTCAAGGCATTGGATGAAGAAATGGATATCTGAAAAGCTTCGAACGAAGGGCTCAAAGATCGTACAAAATCACAAAAATCTGCCTTGTAAAAACATCATTTGTTTTCCTTGTTCAAATAGGATTTCGTGTTTTTGGTAGTTTCTGGTTCTTTTTCGATTAGTAATGTAATTATACTTCCTTATTAGTTGGATAAACGTAGCTAGACCTATTTCAGCTTTCTTTTTGTTGTAAAACTGATAGATTGATCAATTGAACTGAAACTTCGGTTTTGTGCAAGTTTGAGTACTTGTGAGGGTTTGTTGGATTTCAAACTTGTTGAGCTTTGTATCGATTGAATATTCACTTTGATCATGGTCGAGCAACTACCCTTTATACCAATTGAGCTTTCCCCATGTGTGAAATTGTCCATTTGGTTCCCTTTTATAAAAAAAGTATCAAGAACGCTTGTTTTTTGTTAGAGTTCAATCCAATCCTTGGATTTATAGTTTGCTGCGACAATGTGATCAAAACAACCCCCTAGGCTAAATCAAATTGTCATCGGTGCAATGAGATAATGTCCTCTAAACAGAGATTTTCGTGAGCCAAAAAGCCTATTTGGTGAAAAATCGACATTTTGTATAGACCTTTTTCTCCCAAATTCCAACACTAAGGGTTCCTCTCTGTCACACGATTCCAACGGTACCTTCGTCCCTATCAATGGCCATCCGTGCAATGAGATAATGGCATCTAAACTGAGATTTTCGTGAGCCCACGAGCTTGTTTGGTGAAAAAATAACTTTTTATAGACATTTTTTGTCGCAAATTCCGACCATGACGTTCCTCTCGGTCACACGATTCCATTGCTGCCTTTGCTCCCCTCAAAGGCCATCCGTGCAATGAGATAATGTCCTCTAAACATAACTTTTCGTGAGCCCACAAGCCTAATTGGTGAAAACCCGAAATTTTTTAGAGACCTTTTTCTTGAAAATTCCAACTCCATGGATTTCCTCTCAGTCGCACGATTCCATTGGTACCTTCGTCCCCCTCAAAGGCCATCCGAGCAATGAGATGATGCCCTATAAACCGAACTTTTCGTGAGCCCACAAGCCAATTTGGTGAAAAACAGACATTTCAACTTCCTGGCATTCCTCTCAGTCACACGATTCCATTGGCACCTTCGTCCCCCTCAAAGGCCATCAGTGATAATGATCTCTAAACCGAACTTTTTCGTGAGCCCACAAGCCTAATTGTTGAAAAAATGAGAGGCGGAACTGGGTGAAGGGTCAGGGTTGTTCGACGACGGTGGAGGCGAGAGGGGAGAAAATGAGTGTGGTTTGAAGTAGACGAGTGGGGTTAGGTTTCGTTTGGTCCCTTCTCATATACCTTACAAATTTGGCAAGCAATTAATATAATCATGTCCATCAAAATCTACTAAGAGTATAAGTCCATTGCTTATTTATCCACCAACATATTTGATACTTAAATAACTCCTCCACCCAACAGCCATACTCGTTGGACGGGAGGAATTGAATGAGAGAGAGAGGGAGGGGAGAGAGTTGTGCGGCGCATTAGCTTTTAGGAAAATCTGGGTCAGGGCTTCTAGTTAGACTGTATAGAATAAGCCCTTATGGAATGGCTAAAGTTAATCTGCTAACTTGAAAATTCGTTAGCAGATACTAACTGATATCCAAAATACACGAACTAGTATCCAAGTACTAAAGTATCTAGAGAGCACAGACTAGTATTCAAAATTTACTAACTGATATCCACCATGAATCAACTATTATCCCAAATTTACAAACTAATATCTAGACAACACATAATAGTATCCATACAACACATAATTAGTATCCAGATAACACATAAGAGTATCCAAATAACACATAAAAGTATCCATATTGAATACGAGTTGGTTGATTGTGGATATTAGTTGGTATCTGCTATTTGGATACTAGTTTGTGATGTTTTGAATACTACTCTGTGCTATCTAGATACTCAGCAGACTTGGATATTAGTCATACATTTTGGATATTAGTTAGTATATACTAACGAATTTTCAAGTTACCAGAATAACTAGGTTGTTAAGGAATTGGGCTTGGGTATTAGTGTGGCCTGTGGGTTGTGGGTAGCTGTAGGGTTTTATGACTTTTTCAATAGAAGTTGTCGGGTTAATTTGAAAATATAATATGGTACTTATAAATATATTACATTTCAGTTATCAATTTATCAAATTGCTACAATATATGCATATAATTACATTTCAGTTTTTTCAATGAGTTGTTAGTTGCAAGAAATAAGATTAGAGATTTACCCAAATGCCATATTGTATGTCCACGGACCAGGAATTTTAGAATTATTCCAGCAAGAAATTATCATGTTGAGGATTTCTTTTCATGTAGGACCTTAAATAAGTAGTTTCACTCGCTCCCTCTCTGCATTTGGCTCTATTCATAGTTGGACGGAGTTTTCTTTCCGTATTAGGAGTGGTCGTTTGATTTTCTGCAGAATGATGGATATGATGATGATGAGTTACTCTTGAAAGATATTTTTAATACGTAGCTAAGTGGAGTTTACATTTTATCAACCACTGTAGATGCGTTATGTGATCAAATTCCTAGTTCCTCCGCAGAAGCAAATCTTTCCTACTTGCTTCTACTTTGTTCATAGGCACGAATGAGTTGATCATCTTCTTGAGATTCTTTTGATGTTATATATCCCTTTCTACATGGGCCCTATTCATGTTTTTCACGTGTCCTGGTCATGTCATTAATGTTGTAAGCACTATTCATGTCTCCTCGAAGCGATGAAATGTGAGTAGTTTATCAGTGATTGTTGAATCTGTCATTTACGCATGAATAACGTGCTTTCTAACAGTACCGTTACTATTGAGAGATGCTTTTATCTGAAGGTAGGTCTAATTAATGTTGTTGCTATTTTAGTTTTGTTCATATGCTTGGTTCATGTGAATGACTGAAGGAGCTTTGGTCCATATTGGAATTTTATGTTACCCTACTAGGGATATTGACTTGAAAAAGCTTTTGAATACATTAAGCTACAGACTTTCGTATTCTCAAGAAAAAACAAGGGCAATGTCTATTTTTTACCCAAACCCTTTTCAGATTCTTTTATTTTAACCAAACCTATAGAATTCCTAAAAATTATCCAAACGTTAACTCTCCGTCAACTTTTCTGTTAGTAATGCTGACTAAGTATGATCATAATGAGTTGACTTCCTACATGGCGGTCAGAATATCATCATTTACTATTTTTAATAAAAAGATTATCAAAAAACAAAACAAAATCTCACCCCTCACGTGGACGAAATAAGTAACGGTAACAGAATGAATGCCCAGACTTTGATAAATTATAATACGTTTGAATAATAAATAGAATTTCTATAGGTTTGGTTAAAATAAAAGAATCTGAGAAAGGTTTGGGTAAAAAATAGACATTGCCCAAAAAACAATGGTTCTAAGGTGCGACTATATTATAAGTTCGTTGACACTACGACAATTAATCATGTATTGTATAGACTAGTACGAGGTGAACTCTCGTCATGATTTTGGCTAATTGGTGGCTTGGGGATTGAAGCATCCCCCAAGAGACTGACCACTACGAGACTATTTGCAGGTACCCCAAGGAATTTGGGAGGGATATATTTGTATGAATTGGATCGTAAAGAATCACTTGATGTTCATTCAACCTGTATACTTAAGAATAGATGCAATTTGTATACCCAAAAAATTGATAATATCACGATAATTAAGAAAATATGTTGTACATCACGAATAGATGCAAGATAGCAAGATATATTGCCGCGAGATACATAAATATCACGACATTTAAAATTATCGCGATTAAGTTTAAATATCATAGTTTTAACATTACCATGTGGTGGTTTTAACATTACCATGTGGTAAATAGAAATATATCGCGATATATTTTATTTATCTCGAGATTTTCGGCTTATCGCGGTGCGCTGCTGTATCGCGATATTTATTGAAAACTGCGAGATGACGAAACTAATTGCAAGACAGACGAGTGAAACGTCAAAACTCGAAAGATTTCACATTCTGAAAAACCAAACCGAAATGCGAGAAATTGACGAGATATCATGAGATGACGATATATCGTGATATTTTGACTTTTACGATATATTGACTGATTGTAAATGGGCCCCTGTATTGATGGAATAATAGGCCTTGTCCCTCTAAATACGGCCCAATTTATTGAGTAAGAAATGAATAAATTGGGCCCTTATCCCGCCCAATTTATTAATACTTGGTATTTCGAAATATTTAGATAATAAAAATGAAAATATATAAATGGAAAGGAAACATGAGAAGAAGAAAACAGAAAATTCGCCACCTCGATTGGAGAACCAATTAACGAGATCCAGAAACAGATAAGCATCGCGTCGAATCCGATCAAATCATTCGCCGACTTTAGGGTTTCGCAGAAGGGCGAAGGAAGGAGTAAATATGGCGCTGAAGTTCTTGAACAATTAACGCTGAAGTTCTTGAGATCTAACTTTTTCAAAACCAGAACCAAACAAAAACCAAGAAAAATTGATAGGTAAGGTTAAGAAAACACCACTCACCTTCGTCGCCGTTGTGAAGGGCGACGTCGCACCTCGCCGTCGTCATTGTCATCGCCGTTGGCGTTCGACTCCAGTCGCCGTCGATCGTTTGTTTCCAGAAGTAATGAGAGGGAGAGGGGTAAATCGAAGAAAAGAAGAACAAGGTGAAGCCGCTTTTTGATTCGGTTCGGAGGAGAAAGGAAAGAAATCGAGAAAGAGAAGTGAGAGTTGTCGTCGTTTTTCTGGCGAAGGGAACGAAAAAGATGAAAAGAAGAAAAAAGAGAGAGAGAGAGAGAGAATGAGGTGGGGCGGCCGCTCGGACTTTAGGGTAGGGGAAGATTTGAGTCATAGAGAGACGATTATATACTCAGCGTCATAATAAAAAGAAAAGGACACCCCAGAGTTTCGAACCGATGTTCTCCGACTTTATGGAAGTAGGCAAGCAGTAAGTTAACCAGTTAGGCTATGTGCCGACTAGTAGTACAGCAGTAATTAATTTCGAAATACCAGTTTTTAAATGCTCAGAAAATCCCTAAATTGGGCTACTTGCGTTTCTTTTCTGATACGTCAAATATTTGTTAGTGACTAAAATTCTTATATTTTATCTTCATAACAATCTACTTAAATTTTATTAACAAGAATGTGATAAAAATGTATTAGTTAAAAGGGTTAATACCTTATTATGGCCTGAACTATGACCATGTGTCCATGTCATCAACTTTGGCACGTGGTTTTAGAAATTAACATCCTGACCTGAACTATGCAGCATACTGACAAAATTGGCCTGGAGCGTGGTTTGACCGTTTATTCGGACGGTCAACACCTTTGACCGTCAGGCAACTGTCCAGGTCACGGCCATGTCAGCACAAAAAAATTATAATTTCAGTTTTCTTTTTATTTCCTTTATTAAATTGAATAATAACAAAAAATAAATAAATAAAAATTCGGCCACCCATCCCCACCTTATCCCCTCGCCATCTTTCCTTTTCGATCGGAAATCGGAATTCAGAACCCAAAAAAAACCCATCCCCACCTTGTTCCTCGCCAAATTCTTCGGCTGTAGTGATTTGCTCTCCTTCATCTCCACCGTCCCAGAATCCCAACGCCCTAGTCCGCCCACTGTTGATTCGCGCAGCTCCATCAGAGCACCCTACGTCCTCCATCGTTTGCTGCTTCTTCACCGCCCGCTGGTCGAGCCCTGCATCGCCATCGCCGCCCGACCAGCTGGAATCTGAACCGCCGGACAGCTCCTCGGTGGCCTTAAGCAGAAGGGACTTTGATTTTGATTTGGATTTAGATTTGGGTCTGACGGTTAGGGTTACACTGCCGGCGGCGCCTTTTTTAGCGGCGCCAGCCGCCAGAGGCGCTGTGGCGGAACTGATGAGCGAATCGAGGCGGCGGTAGAACTGCCACTTCGACGACGGTGGCTTGGCCTTCTCGACCTTGTACTTCTTCTTCAGCGTGTCTATTCGGTTTTTGCACTGGTTGTCAGTCTTCTTCGGCCCGCCGCTGCGCCGCGAGTTGACTTCGTCGGCGACTTCCTTCCAGAGTTCCAGTCCTTTTGGCGGAGGTTTCCTCCTTTGACGCTGACGTAACGCTCACCCCAAGCTTCGATTAGCGACTCCGTGGCGCCTTCGCTCCAGCAGTCTTCCCGGCCCCCGCTGCCGCCGCCTCCGCCGTCGGTGCGGGATCGGGAGGTTGAGGGTTCCATTTTTAGGAGGGGGGAAGGGAGTAGCAAAGAGATCAAGTTTGCTAAAGTGCGCTGCGTTGTCGGCCGGTGTGCGTAGGATAAGAGGAAAAAGATTCGAAGTAGATGGAAGGTGGGGGAAGAAAGAACGAAAGAGGGAAGGTAATGTAGGGGTCGGGAGTGAGAATCTTCGATCCTCTGATCGACTGTGTTTTCCTCTATTGACGACGGGCAGAAGCGAGCGTCGGGTGACTAGACCGGCGACGGTTTTTTTTTTGGGTTCTAATGGAAAGGAAAGAAGGCGAGGGGATAAGGTGGGGATGGGTGGGCGAATATTTTTTTTTTTGTCATTATTCAATTTAATAAAGGAAATAAAAAGAAAAATAAAATTATAATTTTTTTGTGTTGACATGGTAGTGACCTGGACAGTTGACTAACGGTCAACGGTGTTGACCGTCCAAACAAACAGTCAAACCACGCTCTAGGCCAATTTTGTCAGTATGCTGTATAGTTCGGGCCATGATGTTAATTTCTAAAACCACGTGCCAAAGTTGATAACATGGTCATAGTTCAGGCCATAATAAGGTATTAACTCTAGTTAAAACTACCAAAATTATCATATGAAATACGTGAAATTTGATCCCGTATAAAGGGTAATAATGAACCTTCGAGTACAACTAACTAATTAACTTTTACTTCAAATTGTATATTAATGACTGCAAAACATTGTTTCTGAAAGACACAATTCACCTAGATGTCCGGCCACGATTGAAGTTAGGGGTGGGAAACGAGAAATGAGTATTTGAGTATACCCATGCCCGTCTCGTTTTTTTAGGGTTACGGATACCCAAATACCCGTTTTATTTATTGTGGGGCGGAACTTGAAATTCTATATGTCAAACAATGGGTACCCGCAGGTAACCCACTAGTCTGAAACTGAAATCACAAACCAGTTCTCATTCCCAATCCCACCTAGCTACCAACCCGAGCCCAATCGACCTTAACCAGTTCAGGCATGCAGGCCCAATGGCCCATCTCCTCTCCACTCGGCTAAGGGGAAAGCATCTTCAACTTATGGGGACAATTACATTAGCTTTATTTTGTTATTTTCTTTGATGAGTTTATGCCTTATAGGGACAGTATGTCAATTTGTTTCAAGTATAGTTTTATGATGGCTACTTCGGTAATGCACCCAACTATAAAAGTAGTCATAAACATCAAATTTTGAATTTTAATTGGTAGCATTATCCTAATATGATGATATAACAGAGAATCTCAACTAATCAATCTAGTACCTTAATCCCTAAACCTTCAATTTTGATAAACCAACACAAAATCCCAAAATGTGAGCCCTAATTTCCTAAATCCTTCAAACCAAAGTAAATACTGACAATTTTTTTTGTAAATTCATGGGGTTTCATGTCTATCATATCACAAGTAATGATTGGCATCGTTTTGTCATGAATCGCCTACTCAAAATGGAAAAATGATGAGGCGGGTGCACTGAATGCACCCGAAAAAGAGAGTGCACTGAAGACACCACCATAGTTTTATTATTTTGTTTCAGATGTACTTTTGTAATTGTTCCCACGTTGAACGAGTATAAACGGGTAGTTTGGATACCCATTCATCGTCCCGTACGGGTTCACGGGTACCCTTTATTCGTACAGATTTGGGATATGGGATGAACTTTGGTCTCCAAATGGTATTGGGTACCCATTTTAAATGAGACGGGTATCCAATCCCATCTCATTTCCCACCCCTAATTGAAGTGACTAATCAATCGATACAAGAGCTCACGAGCTAGGAATCCACCAAACTCAACACAAGTACGCAAACTTGCAAAAACCCAAAGGTTCAATTTCAATTCATCAAATTCTGAGCTTTACAACGAAACAAGACGTTTAAATAGGCCTAGCTAGGGTTAACACGTCCACATAAGTCCTAATAACAACCTAATACGAAAAGGAATGAAAATAAGCAAAATAAACTATTCTTAATCGAATAAAGAAAACAAGACTCTATTTTACAAAACAACATTTTTGAGACTGCGCACGATCTTTGAGCCTTTCGTTCGAAGCCATCCAGGTATCCATTTCTTCATACAATGCCTTGCCTTTGTAAACAAACATACCTGCTTTCATGTGGTAGAAGTCTCTGTACTCGACTCTCATCCATACGTCTCGAATTGAGCTCCAAAGTAGGCTTCACAAACACGTTTCCTACCTTAGCCAAATTCGGGTTGTTTTCCTGTTTTGACATACAGTTTTGGTGAGCTTGGAAAATGACCTTATGGAATTTCCCTTGAGCGTCCAAGCATACCAATGTGTAGAGGGACACTCCAGCTTCAATACAAGCTCTTAAAATTGAATTTCCACAGAACCAATTGAGAGTAATAGGCTTGCAAAGTAGGCTATCTGAAATAGTTTAAATACTTAGATAATAATTTGTGTTCTTCAGGAAGCTTCAGCTTGCGAAGTGTAGAGTTTCCTATTTGGGATCATATCAGACTCCCGCTCTTCAAAAAGCTTTGCCCTCAAAGCTCCTATGATTCTACAACCCAAAATACGATGAGAGGGTACCCAAAATGGTTTTTCAAAAGTAGATTCCAACTGCGGCAAAACCATCATCAAGACAGCACTGCAGGCTGCAGCCTCCTCCAACTTTTGATTTCAGCATCTTCGAGTGGAATTGAGCGATCCTACTTTTTCCCGGTATCCTAAATTCGGGATGTTAATGGAACTTTGATTTTTGTATGTAGGGTGTTTTTTTGTATGAGATGGTCCTATTGTAGCTTTTGGGAAACTTTATCTAATGGTTTCTCCATGGAGTTGAGCTTGTAGCTCAATGAAACAAAAATTGAATGAGCCTCTGTTTTCATTGACATGTGCTTAAAAGACAAGTTTCCATGGGAACAAGGGATTGGTCAAGTGGTATTACCATTGGTCTTTATCTTGGAGGTCTCATATTCGAATATCTTAAATAGCACCTAACTATACAAACAAACCTATACAACGTGTGAATAAAATTGTTAAATAATATTGTCCAAAGGACGGGCCCAAAGCTAGTATATCATAAAATAATATTTATAGGGTAAAAATCTAAAAAGTTCAGCAATCTGTTTCCACAATCAGAGGGCTCCAGCCTCTACGATTCGCCTCCTTCATTCCAAGGGCTATAGCTTTGGCTTCCGCCTCCACCAGTCTGCAACATCTCGATTCCTTCCAAGCCAAAGCGCCCAAGAAATTTCCATTCTAGTCACTTCCCAGTCTGATTCCATTTAGCTTCAGAATACCAACATCACAGTTCAATTTAAAAATCCTGGCCAACGGTTTCTTCCATCCCTGCTCCATAACACTTTGCCCATCATAACACCAATGGTTGCTCTTTGCCTCGAGGTAATATGAAATCCATGCAATCACTTTAGGAATGATCTCCTCCTCTTCAAGCTTGATATTGTTGAACATATGGTTGCATATTTTTTTCCAAATAAACCAGAGGATGGCGCAAAATATCTAAAGATCTTCAATTTCTTTGGACTCAAAGATTCGGAAAAACCAGTCACATCCTGACAAGCCTTCCCCTTGATGGAAGCATTCACGATCCAAACTTGGTTGCCACAGGCGATGAGTCCATTCACAATTCCGCAGGCAGTGCAATTGGGTTTCGAGAGACCACAAAAAAGGCAATCAGAGGGTGCTTCTTCAATTCGTCTAGTAATAATTTCTCCCACCGATAAGATATCCTGACTGATTTTCCATAGAAAGAACTTGACTTTAGCTTGGAAAGGCAGACTCCATATCTTCTTCCAGTAGGCTTTAATTCTCTAGTCTCCAGTCTCGTTCTTAGAGTAACTTGGATTTTGTTTTTGCCATTGATTTTTGTAGGCCGACGTGACTGTATAGGCACCATTCTCTGTCTCAGTCCATAGTCTTGTGTCTTCCTGAGGGGTTTCTCAGAGGAACCTATTTAATCAAAGTCTGGTCATTATCCAATAAGAGGAGCTCAAGTTTGGCCAACTCCCAGCTCCCATTTTCTTAGTTGATCAGTTGGCTCATTTTCATATTAGGATCCACTTTACTAGTATGCATCCGGGTGATAGGCTCTTGTTGTTAGGTATCCATCAGTCATCCCATACACTAATGTTCTTTCCATCCCCAACCCTCCATCTGAATCCATTCATAATCTCATCCTTCGCTCTTACCAAGCTCCTCCAAACATAGCTACATAACATTGAGCGACAGAAGCAAGCATATTCAATATCAATGAACTTACCGTAACCCAATTGCCAATTTTCCACCGCAGGTCCTTCAATAACAGGTCCCGATAATAGTGGACACTGCGTCAGTCCCGAGATGGTAACAATCCTTCCCTATCCTCAAGAAAATCCGATCGAGGATAATACCCCCCCTATACAACCGAGCCAACAAAGACAGCGGATCCTTCAAGATCCGCCACTCAACCTTAGCCCACATTGCTTTAATGAAAGCCTCAAAGCCTCGAAAACCAAATTCACCTTCCTCCCTGCTCTTACACACCGTTCTCCATGCCACCCAATGAACTCGTCTTTCCTGACCGGTAGGCCCCCACCAGAACCGAGCTAGATTTCTACCCAATTGACACGATACGGCCAAAGGCAACCTGAAGCAGGATATCACATATACAAGGAGCACATTAGCCACTGCCTTTAACAGGACCTCCTTTCCTGCCCAAGAAAAACACTGTTGTTTCAAGCCTTGCAACCGCATCATCAGCCGTTCCACCACAAACCAAAAAAAATTTAACTTCGACCTAGCCACTAAGGATGGTAACCCCATATATTTATCCATAAACACTATTGTGCCAACCCTAAGCTGAGTTGCCATCTCTCCTTGTTCAAAACCTTGAACATTCTTACTAAAAACGATCGGAGATTTTTCCATGTTTACTTTTTGCCTACTGAGCATCTCATAATCCCATAAATACCCGCTAACCTGGCACAATCCAACTCCTTTGAACTAATTTTCTCATGAACAAGGCTTCAA